TTTAACAAATTACGCGAGGAAATGAGAAATTTCGATGTATCCATACGTGGTCGTGGCATAAAGTAAATATTCGGTGAGGCTTTGAATGAAATGCCACACAGTGACCAGACTGAATTTTACTGTTTTGATACACCTGTGGGGTGCATATTCAAACATTCACTCGCGCACAATTTTATCATTCCATCCCGTTCGATGCATGTCATAGAGTGCAAGCAAAAGAATACATGACTTGGTTGTTATCGTTAGCTCAAGTCGCAAGGACATTGCCACAAGATTTACAAGTACATTTCATAATCATATGTCAGTCAGGCATGACGTCTATGGTGATGTGCATTAGTGTACGCTGCAATAAGTACCGAGTCGTATGGGCCTGCCGAGACACTCGACCTGCAGTGAGGATTTCCACGGGTAACGGATTCACTGTCGTGAGCAATATATGAGCTTAAAAACAGATTTGATTTTTATTCCACTAGCTGCACTCTACTGAACTGAATTAGTCGTATATATTTGACAGAGCTACCTTTTGCTTGAGCATTTAGTGTAATGAACATTTTTTGCTCATGCCAGCTACCATGAACGGGCACTATGAAACGGGAGACCCAAAAGCCACTTCCAGTGTAACTTTTAGACTGGCAAATGTTCGAAAAGGCACAGTTTATTTTGAGCTTTCAAGATGAGCAGCAGCCACTTGAGACGGCGACGGACGACGTAGACAGACTTGGCACATGGAATGAAGAAGAGAGCTTTTACGTTTTCTCGTCGATTCGTGCAGCAATAAATTTGTCAACGTGGTAACTACGCAGCACTGAGTCACTGCGCTGCGCCCTTATTTCACTCGCAAGCCCTTATCTCGCTGTGAAGAGGATTGTACATTTTGGCTGGCCTTGGGCTTTCACCAGAACGATTCTGTTGAAGTTACCGGGCCCACAAAGGTCACTGGAATTGTTGGACAGCCTCTGTTTGCGAAAAATGGCGCCTTTCAGACGCAGCGAAGTAACAACTGAGACGTTCATTCATGTTCATCTGTGCCTTTGAGTATAATTCGTGCGTCCTTTAGGCGTGAAAAGCGCTGGGAACGTTTCGATCTGCTTGCCATTCTGCGCGTGACCTTGCACCGCCGAGGTGGTCTAGTGGCTAAGGTACTCGGCTGCTGACCCGCAGGTCGCGGGTTCGAATCCCGGCTGCGGCGGCTGCATTTCCGATGGAGGCGGAAATGGTGTAGGCCCGTGTGCTCAGATTCGGGAGCACGTTAAAGAACCCCAGGTGGTCAAAATTTCCGGAGCCCTCCACTACGGCGTCTCTCATAATCATATGGTGGTTTTGGGACGTTAAACCCTACATATCAATCAATGTGCGTGACCTTCCAATCTGTTGTTATTGCGTCCATTGCTTCGCCTTTGCGGCAAAGCTTTGACTTTTCTTGCATTCCAAGAAAAGAAACAAACTCGATTACTTCTACTACTACTACTACTACTACTACTACTACTACTACTACTACTACTACTACTAAGTGCTTCAGAAATTATGGTATAGCACACGCGACTAGCATTTCGGCAAAGTAATATGAATTTTTTTCCTGAGAGGAGTTAGACGATCTTCCATGACGACTGAGGAAGTTCTTCGGACCCGGTAAGCAATACAACACCGAAATAAAGCAAAATAAATCTTAAATTACCAATTCCAACTCGATTTGACGAAGTGATGAGCATGCTCAACTTATTTCGTTATAACGTCATTTCCGAAAATTTGAGACAGAATTTTTCTGTACATGCACCTCTGAAGCTGCAATGTAGCGAAAACCAACAGCTAACACAGCATTAGTTTTTTTCCGGGTAGCCATACCTGCCGGAAAGCATGAGCACGGCGCGAGGGCAGACAAGCCCCTAGGGGGCATCATGGCATGTGATGCTGTTCAGGCAGCTGGGCACGTTAAGCTATGCAAGGCTAGCAATATTCGATGACGTACGGAGACGACAAATGCCATCATTGTGCGATGATATTGAGCTAGAAAAATGCGACAATATGATCCGTGCTATACGTCGCATAAATCATGAAATACCCATAGCTACCACCACCACCTCCACCATGACCGCGTAACTACGAGCACTAGCGACTTTACCTCCGTGGCGTCTTGCCTCTAAAAAAAGAAAACAAAAAGCTTAGGGCATGTAAAACTTGAGTGCATAGATCTTTGAAGGCGACGTTGCTTGAGCGCACGCTTGAAGACACGTCTCGGTAAAATTTATAAGTGAATGCCGCTTTTCCCCTCGAATATGCATGCTCAGAAAAAGTTCGGATTGGTCACCAAACTGGATGGTTCATACGGATTGACGACTGAATTGAATCCTAAGGCTATCTGCCATGAAATCAAAATTTTTTTGATAGATCGGGAACCTTGCGAAATTAGGTTACATTAGATCGAGTTTTTACTGTAAATGATATACAAAACCACAAGATCAAGTCAAATGAGCACAAGTGAAACGTTTTATATGCGCGATGAAGTACTGCTGGTAGCAACAAGAAAAAGTGTGCAGGGGTGAAGTGCGAACCGTTCCGGCGGGCTCTGGTTTGCCGGCCATTCTCACACGCTCAACCCTGAAGATGCATAATGTTGCACATTGACATTTACATTGGCACTGAGTCGTCCATATTCACTGTGGCCGAGGAAAACGGGTTGATGCAAGACGACGGTGAAAGTAAATAAATCAGTTTTGAGGAATTCACTTAAAACATAAAGTTTCCTACTATACACTAGAGAGAACTCTCGCACTAGCGTCTGTGGGAGCTGCAACGCACAGTGCTTCAGCGACCATAGGAATGATGGAGAGTAAACACATTTGTCTATTATTCGTACTTCTGGCCTGCTTTTGGTTCCGTGTGTGTTCGTGTGGCTTGGAGTTGTTTTCTCACGAAACAAAAAGCAGCAAATGTTCAGAGGTTGCGCTTCACCACCTTATTCTTTTAGACTTACCTTCCCAAATCGGGTCCGAAGTTCAGAAGGTTTGAATGTTTCTTTCAAAACAAAATCGAAATACAGCAATAAACGAAGCCAAAGGTATGATACGCTGCCCGCAAGTACGAAGACTAGGCAAGTGTGTGTATTACCCATCATTCCCATGGTCGCTGAACGATCGAAGCGACAGTCTCTCCTCTTGTTAATTTTAGGAAACTCTATGACTCAAAAGTCACAATTCATCCGACCAGACAGGTAAACATGTTTAGCGTCCTACCATGTATTTTCCACCAGAAGCCGTAAGAAGTGAAAGACCCATCTGGAAAGTGCGTTTACGTCATACGCACTTAAACAGCTGTGTTTATTATTGTTATTCTTGATGATTTTTCGACGTGGCCCTAAAGACTCTCGGTAGCGTCGTCCAATTGGGGCGACCGAGAAAACGCGCGCACCAAGCTCGTGTTGGAGAAATTGCAAGGTGCTTATGTGCATTCAGGGACTTTCAGTGCCCGGTGACTATTTTAACGCGAATGCGTTAAACAGCTTGTTTTGCAGAAATTCCGGCGACTGTGTCATCATCGGCGTCATTAGGTTTAAGCCAAAAAAATTGTCCTATGCTTGATTCCAAAATCAAGAGCGATGCAAACAAAATAAAATGATAAGAAAACCTTAGGTCAGAGTGGGGACCAAACCAGAGCCCTTCGCGTGCGAGTGAAGATCGAACCCGGGTCGTTGGCGTGCCAAGTAGATGTTCTACCACACGGCCACATCTCTGCTTTTGAATACACTGAAAAGAACTTCCTGTGCTTGGAAATGCAGTGCAAGTACCTTTCATGCTTTACACACACACGTCTCCTGTATACAAGCTTAACAATGCAAAATGAAATACTGCAGTGTAGCGTCGTCATCATCATCAACATCATCTTCCTGACCACCCCACAGTGCCTCTCGCGCAGCTGAGGCTTGTTCGAGCTGCGCGAGAAGCGAAAGAGCTGACGCGCCTGGCGTGGCGGACGCTGGCAGCCACCGTGGTTCCGCTTCAGGCCTGGAATGAAGTGGCGAGATCGGCACGGCTCCATCGGCTGCTTTCCACGTCATCTCACATCTCTTCATTTCTCGTCGCTACAGTGGTGACCCAGACAACGCGTCCTTCGACGAGCCATCGCCTGCCATGTTCCCGCGACTATACCTGCCAGTGCCGCCGTTTCAATCGACCTAACCCAAAATATGGTTCATGCAGCTCGACACCATTACTGTGGTGAATGGCGTCACGGACAAGCCGCTGATGCACGCCATTCTTCTCGACGTCCTTCCGGTAGAGCAGCGTCATCTCGCTGCCACTTCAAGCTGCAGTCCGCAGCCGTACGATCATCACTGCTCTGTGGTGCTGGCCTTCTACGGCCTCATCTACCGCCCGATTCTATGAACCCGCAACTACCCAGTTTCACCCGAGTCATAGCAAGCGGTATGAACCGGTCATCATCCCTGCCTTCACTGCGACGTATCTACCCCGGGTACGACTCCTTCTACCTCAGATTCAGTCAAAGGAACATCCAATCCTGCACCTGACCACGACGACAAGGTAGAAGGTGCTCCCACTTCAAATTACTTCACCATCGAAAGGTGCGTCTCCTTGGAGTCCGCGTTCGCAGGTCCGTTGCACGTGACTGTCACCTGCACGCCTTCTGCGACATCGACGGCACGTGACACCACAGCCACACCAGACTACACGACGGCTACCTTGCCAGACTCCTCCAAGTCTAGAACAGATATACTCTTCGGCGCCCTCCAACGATTCCACCTTTGCGTACCTTTGTCAGCCGCGTCCGATTGAACCATTGGGTGCGCTTTCGAATTATCCCGCCAGGTTATCGTGGGACGCACGTGTTAATGACCACATCGACCCGCTACTTTCATCCCCACCGATTTCATCTTTCTAACGCTTCAATTTTTACTACCGTTTGGAAAGAAATGTAGACAGATGATATATGCAAACAAATGAATTTTTTGCCACCGTCTTATAAGCACGACGCCGCCAGACACTCACCTGAGACCCATGGACTTTCAGGAGCCCGCACAGCAGCGCCGTCCAGAGAAGAGCCATGTTGCAACTGCCGTCCAGCCCGCGGCAAAGATGATGCTCCTGTTGTCCGTACACTGTTTCATTACCGACACGCAAGAGAGACTAGCGGCGGCATGCTGCCGGCGTGCCCTGAATAACCGATCCTTGATTATTGATATGACTGCGCGTGCGCTGAGCCTGTGGGATATGGGCTCCCATACACGTGCTTGTCTCTCGCCGCAGAGGTAAATGCGTCCACCTTAAGTGAATTAGCCTGGACTCACTGCCGCTACCATAGTCTGTTGTCGGTTTTGATTAATGCCTCGCCATGCAGTTCACTCAGCTGGTGCCCCTGCTGCGACCTTGGCCGGGTGTGTCCTATTCAAGGACGGTGTTGCGGGAGCAGTAGATACTCAGTAAGCGTTGTCTAGAAAGGACCCTTTGTGACGTGGGTCAGATCTTTGGCTATCAGAATGGCGGTTTGCAATAAAGACTAAATAACGCTAATAGCGATATCAGATCTTATCTGTTATAGGCAACGCTTCCGGTTAGGTTGTAAGTCAAGGTTTAATATCTTCTTAGCGTAACGCGGCTGAAACGTATTCGCTGGTTTTCGTGACACTAAATGAATAAAAGAACCATTCCGTGTATTACGGAAACGTAACTGATGCCATTATTTTGTGCTACTGTTACTAGTAGGCATTCCGCTGGCAAGTCGATGTTCTTTGTGACGTATTCTACAATTATCCACGTCGGCCGGGCACTAATTATTGCACCCTTGCCCGAAGAACATTGAATTTGGCGCATCACAACATACTCGTGCAGCAATTTTGGTGTCGAAAGTACTGAACTGGTAGTCCACGTGAACAGTTTCATAAACCTGATAATTTCGTACAACGTAATCACTTGGTTCTCATTCTCTTTTTATTCACAATATTTACATCTATGTATATGTCACTCACTTTTTCCCGTGATAGAAGCATGGCAACTAATAAAAACTACGTCATCGAAGGACCGAAGCTGTGTTTATTTTATACACTGCAAGTGCCAGTTCGGACAAGATTTTCGTGACCGCTCTGCCTTCAATGAAAAATACTCCATAGACAGGCCGTTATAATTATTTCCCTACACACCACTCCACGTTGTATGAATGCTACAGCAACTTAGTCGCTCTCTTATTCCCGTCATTTTTCCCAAGTCAATGTTCCATTCACTCAGTAAACAGCCAAACAACCTCTGCGAGCATAACGAACTAACCTTCATAAAATGAATGTAGCTCTAATATTTACAAAACACTTCTTAGATGCTTTATGCTATCTCCAACATGTAGCCTACACCATGAATGGCTTGTTTTCAACAAGCCTGTAGGTTTACTGAGACGAACATTTCCTCACAAAATTAAAGATTTTAACATTTAAGAATTAAGAAAGCACCATTTAGAGCACTCACAGTGCTGGACCATAGACAAAGGACCTCAAGAAGGACGAAGTTCGTGGAAACGCGGGTAACTTCACACAAAAAAAAATGCCAAAACATTTTTGTTCTAAATATCTCTCTGAAAAGCGTACAAACCACAAAGGAACTTAGCTGGCTATGACTACATGATTTCTGATAAAATATTTCGCAACATTTTCTATTTTTCAAACCTCGTTATGAAAGCGCGTATGTCACGTTATTTTTCTAATTGAAAAAGAGATGGCTCACTTTGATCGACAATAATCGGACGCCTGAAAAAGTTTCGTCATATTCGCGCGGTACGTTTTGCAAATCCAAGTGGTTAGGATGCTCGCGCACATTTCATATAGCTGTCACAATTTTTCATTTGGCCATTGAAGGATTATTTCTTACTTAGTTTCCTTATGTAAACGACTTATTAAGTGTGAACAATCACATAGTTAAATTTTGTCTCCAGAAGTGCCATTTTGTCGAGCGCCTCAAACCAATAGCATTCAACAAACGCTTATGATCGCATTTCACGCAAAACTAGGTGTCTCTTCATTATTTGGAATCATTTTTAGGTATTTATGGAACCCGCCGCAATAGAACACGCCACACATCAGGATAAGAAAGCAACACATCTCTCATACGTCCCATTTCTTGATGTATTCAATGGGCGAATTTCACAGTTCAGCAGATTCACCAAAGCGTACTTTTCACAACATTGGGTTCATGCAGCTAGCACTTAACTGGGTAGCTGGCTGCCGCCAAGGTGGCGATTTATGGCGATTTGCACGACACACACATTTTGTCAGAATAATTACGACGTACCTTTGCGGGCACGCCTCATCAAAACCAATTATGCGTGAAGCAATTCGTCCCGGCGATCACTACACAACAGAAACAATCCAAAGTACGGCAAGCAGACTTCCGAGACAGTCCACGGAGCCGAGCTTCGCGTCGGTTCCACACGAAACTTGCTACAAGATGAGCGTTTGCAGATCTGCGAGTAACCTGCGTGGGGGCGTGCGTGCCTTCTCCTTAACGTCAACACACAAACACTCGCACTGCACACGTTGAGTCCACGACGGCATCGTAGAGGCACCGTCTTCTACATCTCGTGTATCTTGCGAACGTTCTCGTGCGCACAGTCACACGCCGCCTCGTACACTAAAAACAGCACCACAATTGTTGAAACATTCCCGCGACGAAACGAGGCTGCAAGCAAAGCAAGAAAAGCTGTTGAACTTTCCGGGTGACAGTAGTGGCCCGACGGATACTTAACGAACACAAACTGTAGAGAAATAACATTCGCAATGATGCCACACTGCCTACCTATCTACAGTAAAACCAGTTCCGGCACAGCGAAATTATCGACTATAGCTAGCTTCAACCAATAGATGACCTGTAGAGCACAGTTAACACACCTGGATGAAAATAAGAGAAGTGCAAAGTTGAAATAAATTTCAAAAATGTAGCCCACAAATATCAGCGCACACAGGAGTTTCCTTTTATTTTACTACTGGTTTAAAAGGTGCAAACCGATGTGGATTTGACTAATAGCACTCTAAGGAGATAATATTTGCAAACAAGACTTTAGTTCGGGCCCTTACGGTCCAACTTTACTAGGCTGCCTAATGAAAAAAAAAAATCAGCGCCATGAAATACTGGTCTAAGCTATTGTATTCGCTTAGACCGGTTTCTTGTAGCTACACAAGGTGAAATCCTAAAGAACTTAGTTGTGATTTTTACTTCGTAGGGGAGTCCGATTTGTTGCTAGTGCATTCATTTTTTTTTCTAACCCATCTTTCTGAATTTTTAGTGGGCTCAACCAGAAATTATTTTCGGGCGTGGGGAGGGTGGATTTAACCACACTTTGCGTATGTTAGTACGTGTGTTTGTATATATGCACGTATACTAGTCAAGCAAAATTAAAAATTTTCAGCCCCCTGCCCACCCCCTTCTCTTGGCTACACCCCTGGGTTCAACAATCTGACTCATGTGATGCATACACGTGTGGACCAATCAGCGTGCCAATGAACTAGGTTGTGCATGGCAGCTTTGGTATTGCGTGAGCGCCCTTTGAGGACCAGTATGGGCACGGTCGTACTGGATTGAATGCGGATTTAACGGGCTTTTCCGTTGCCACGTTCATTCTGCTCTGTGGCAACCGACGCTATAGGCTACTCAATCGCGGCGGCAGACATCTGTTTATCAAAGCGATAGACTTAAATGTCTCGTGCTCATGTCCGTCCGCCTGTCCGCCCGTCAGTCTCCAGCATGGCGCCAGCGGTGGCCCCTGTATCGTTGCAGTGCTGGAGTTAGTCAGATGGTTCACACGTTCAGTCAGGCGAGTCATGGCATCATCGTTGTCTATGTTGTTGTCAGCGTTTCTGTGATTTATTCGACCTCAAGTGTTATCAACGTGCCCTGAATGATGTCAGCGGTACGTTTACTGTTAGTACTGAATACTGAGAATTGCACTAAAGCAATACTGACTGTACGAATAACAGCAGAATGTCACATTTGAGCTGAAGTAGAACGTATGTTTTAGGGGGGCGGCTATTTTACCGCGCAATCTACTAGTTTCTTGATGATCGAGTGACATCTGCCCTGTCAACTGAAGCACTTATTGGCGCTACGCAGCTATACCATGCTTATTTTTTCAGTTACTTCAAAATGAATCGCACAAGTGACTTAAAAGTGAAGCCCTGACTTGCTAACGTTGGAACAAGTAACATAAGGTGTCATGAATATACCGAAGGATCATGCGCTATATGCATGGTCACCAAAATGAAATTAACATCTGTCATAAGCTGTGGTCAATCTTGATAAAAGCTGCGATGACACAATTATTATCATTGTTTCAAGTGTTTGTGTTCGTGCGCGAAATTAACGTGAACTGCGTTCATTTTGTTCAAGTACAGTACTAGGGCTAAGCATCTAGTACAGCGTAAACCAGTTTGCTTGATTATTTTAGGTTGTTCAATTGTTCCATTGTTGAACCGCAAGTGAAAAGAAAACAGTGGTAATAAACGCATGTGCCTGCATAGTAGAACGACTTACTAGTCACGAAGTAAGCGGGAATAATGTTGGGCAACAAAAAAAATGTACATTCAAGGTTTATTACCAAGACCAATAAGAGGTGGTGCCACCATTCTCCCACGGTTTTAAGTGCATCGCAGGCACCAGACGGCTAGGAGTCGACTCGAGCGCCACTTGCGCCAATCTGAAGAACTCACGCGAGGGATTCGGGAAGCTCTGGGAGAGGGCATCAATTGAAGAGGCGCTGAGAGAAGTATTCGATCGAACAGGGTTGGTACCGGCCACGTCTCGCTCTTAGGAATAGTGAATGTACCGCACCAAAATAAGGTACATGGACACTTCAATGTACTTCAGATAACCTATCTAACCACTAACTAGGGTCAACACAGAATTTTTTTCTAAAACCTCATGGAAGCATTTCGTAAGCATGTGCACCAATATTGGTATGTGACATCAATTAATTTTATAACACCCTAGAAACCATTAGTTTCTCATATGTAATGAAATCAAATGAGTTTTGGTTATGAGTGCCTTGGCATCCTATTTTTGGCATCCTATTCAAGAGTGGATTCTTGAATAAGAAAAATATTTTCCCAATAAAATTATGCACCTCTATTCTAAAGGTCTGGGCACGCTTTGTGTTACTGTATTTCCGAAAGAACAGAATAATAAGTGTGAGCCAATTCTTGGTTAAAGTGCAAAGGAGCGACACGGGAAAGGCGCTTCTTTTACCGGGAGTGAGTGTCGCGGCTATTATCTTGCATCCTCTCGCATTCAGACCGTCATTTCCATGGCACCCGACTTCGTCGCTAACGTTGTTTTACTAAAGTTTAACAGCGCAGACTACAGTTGATGCCCTTGACTAAGCAATAATAAACAACAAAACGGCTATGTGGAATTCTCATATTGTACATAAGCGGAAACATTAGCAACAGATCAGAAAAAACACTACATCCTGGGCGCTTAAACCTGTGTATAGAACTCTTAAATGTTTGTAAACAAAGAGTGGTAGGCACCGTTGACACACTGCGGCACGTAGGCTCCGCGCCACCCAAAGCTCGTCACAGCCGGCTGGGCGGAGCCTATACGCGCCGCGACATCACTTCGGCGCCTACCACTGTTTGCGAACATAAAAGTGGTCAATATGCACAACCTGCAACAATATCTCACCATGTATGAACACTGCCCGGCGACGGAGGCGCTCCCTGTGACAATGAACACAGCCGGTCGCGAGCGCCTCTTCTGTACAAGGGAGAGGGTGAGGCGCTCGCGGCGCGGCCTGGTCGTAGATCACCGCTGCATGAAGGTGTTGATGACGCTCTGGTCCTGGTCTAGGGTCGCCATGCACAGCCCCTTGGCCGACACGAACGCTGCACGTGGAGTGGCAAAGAGAGAGAGGACCGGGTGCATGGCGGTCATGTGGTGCCTCTAGGGGGCACCTTTGTTTATCAAGTCCTTAGATGCCACCCAGAGCACCAGAATTCATCATCGGCATCTCGCGAAAACACGAGTGATGCCAAAAAAGCATCATCGCGTGATGGCATCAATATAAAATGGCATTATAGTGTCACGAACTGCCTCACTTTGTGACCTCATAATGACGTTAAGTGACGGCGCTATCACATGACATCGCTTCGTCAAAGTTTGGCCTCTCACCGAGGCACTCCAGAAAGTGTGAAATGCCTCTAATCCTAAGGTCAAAGGAAAATCGTACTAGGTGCAGAAAGCTTTCGCAGAGTGCAGGGGAGCAGCAATACGTCGACGTATATGAAAAATAAGGTGATGGTTTTCGCCTTAATGTAATCTTGGGCGATTTCTGTCATGCCGTATCGTCATCGTACGCGCCATCCCGTCACTCTGCTTCTCCGCCAGCCTGCTGGGAACCTGCACTTGTGCCCTTGAACACATGGCTACTTTTTTTTTTTTTGGTGGACTGAATTTCCTTGCCTGTATCCTATAGGACGGAATTTTTCGTGTCTCTACATCAGGCCCCCATTACGACATTTATAAGGATGCTATTTTTCCCAGGGGCAGATGATGTTGTGTCGTGTGACCCTTGGCATCATGCAAGAGCACCAGTGCGGAAAAACTTCCTGTACACGTACTGTTTACCTGGCGTGGTCACGTAGATCAAGTTATCTGTGCATGGCGGCCAATCACCCTTCTTCCCCCTCCTTAGAACCAGCTGCAATGAACGCGGGAAAGCAGTCTCCTGGCAGTGTTCCCGAAGCTCCGTCTACGTATTGTCACTCTATGCGCCGCCCCATCGCTCGGCTTCTCCGCCGACCTGTCCGGGGCTTACTCCACAATCATGCCCTATACAACAATGAGAGACCCTGTGAGCTTTTGAATCGTAGTGCGCATCAGTAGACTTATGTTAGAAAGAGCTACCAATGTGTTTACATGACTTAGCGTTCTGCCGTCACAAGAGAACAGCAAGCTTGTTCGATTTACCCAGTGCCGGACCAGTCGCCATTGGCCCACAACCGCTTCGGCTAAAATGTAACCACGTCAAATGGCGCCATTATCACGTCATCCAAGAGACCCGAGCGGCCCCAGACCATCTGCGCGCTTAATGCTAGCTGAGTTCGCTATGGTCTCTGCTCCGTTCATAGCTGCGACACCGGCCACAACGCCGACCCTATTTGACCTCAACAGCAGTTTAATTGTGAATTACACCTATTTCAATAACGAAAGAAGGGTAAACTCAACGGCTCGTATAATATTGAAAACTTATTTTCATTGTGACACAACCTACTGTAAGTGAACAACTAAATTTATTTATTTACACATACTGCAGCGATGAGTGCACTATGGCAGGAGTTGGTATTCAAGAATACGCAGAAGTATAGGTAAAAACAATGAAAAAATGGAAACAGGTAACATATTATGTCGTGAGGTCATACAAAGCTTAAGTAATACAAAATAACGGGGACATGAAAAATGAAAATAAAACAAGCAAGTGCCATTTGCTAATGGATCAGCATGTTTAGCACAAATGCGTGGTAGATTTCGGCTACAAAACTTTGCGATAGGCATGAACGAACAGAACCCGGTAATGAATTCCAGCCTTCGATGAAACGGGGGAAAACACTGAACTGAAACATATTAGTTCGAGCGTAGTAAGGCCTCAAATTACTGCTGTGAAAGCTTCTACCGGCTCCCGCGCAACGGGTTGGGAGTCCTCTATGCAGAGTAAGCTTCACCACTCGGGCGACGCGTCACAGCCCCTCGAAGCCCGCTTGTCCCCAGTTTAGAAACCGGTGGGTGGCTGGCCGGCATTGGGTATTGAACCCCGCACCTCCCGTAGCTGAAGCGGATGCGTACGCGCAATGCCTCAGCTACGGTTCTGAAAGCTTTTCGTCGTTGACTTCAGGGCCAAGTTTGTGTATTCTTTGTTATCTGACAGTGTAACTGTGAAAAAAAAAACGATGTTTGCAAGACTTTCAATGAATTTATTAGGTGGCGCGAATAGGGTGGAGTTAATTTCAATTAAAATAGAGTAGAAGAGGGTGAGAAACCGCGGCCGTAGCGATGACATATGAATATTACCATGTATTATCAGTGTGATAGATTTGTGAAAAGGCACACAGTAGACATTAACATGAGCCTCTATCTATGTAGTTTGAGCACCATACAACGCCACTAGGGCACCAAAAGAAGAATCGAAGCACCCATACATAGGCACCCAAGGGACCGGTCACTGAGCACATGTGAGGCAAGCAGCCTCCTTAGGCTACAAAATGTTCCCTGACCAACCATACTCAAAAGATCTCACTATATCCTCTCATGAAGAGTGAATAGAGCTCGGGAAACGTTTTCCGGACGACACAGAAGCGAACGCTGAACCCGAGTTCTTTTTGATTGATTTGATTGATTTGTGGGGTTTAACGCCCCAAAACCACTATATGGTTATGAGAGGCGCCGTAGTGGAGGGCTCCGGAAATTTCGACCACCTGGGGTTCTTTAACGTGCACCCAAATCTGAGTACACGGGCCTACAACATTTCCGCCTCCATCGGAAATGGAGCCGCCACAGCCGGGATTTGATCCCGCGACCGAGTTCTTTTTTTATTTCTCAAACTGGAGACTTCTATAAAGTAAGACAATAAACTTTGGCATGCTCATGCATCGTCGGCAGCAATGCCTGACTTTGGGAGAATATAATGCAGAAAAGAATAAATTTCTGCTCAAGTTTTCTTTCTTAGTCTGTCTTTTAGCGTGCCGACCATGTGAAGTTCATGAACGCCTTGCATCACCTAATTGCGCAACTTTTCACTTTATTGATGACCCCCCCCCCCACTTCCTGGAGCACTCAGAGAATTACCGTGTTTTGAACAGTGATCAAGCGCTTTAAACCAAGCTTGACGTTGCAAAGCCACGTCATCAACTAATGATATGTGGGATTTAGTATACGAAACCACCATATAATAAGAGATGCCATAGTGGCGGGCTCCGGAAATTTCATACACCTAGGGTTTTTAAGGTGCACTTAAATCTGAGCATATGGGCCTACAGCAGTTTCGCCTCCATCGAAAATAGAGCATCCGCAGCTGGGTTTTGATCTCGCGACCTGCGAGTAAGCAGCCGAGTTCCTCAGCCACTAGATTACCGCGGCGGGGCTACGCTATCATTTGACGCACGCCTACGGAATAAGACTGACCAGCAGAATTTTCATAACTTTCATAACTGCTGAGGAATTCGTGAGCATGAGTGTTCTTTTATTTCGCTACCAATGGAATGCAGCTGTAATGAACAGGAATCGAATCCGCGCCCTCGAGCTTACCACACAAAACATAGAAGCCTCTGTGTTACCAAGGTAAATGTGTGTTCTAGTTCCGGTTTCTCAAAACTCGAATCCACAGTGTTGAGTCGAGCATCGTGTCTTAAGGGCTAACTTTCGTCACTCTAACGGATAGGAACAACTTCTAAAACACTTATAAAATTGTAGAACGCTTGTAAAAGCTTTTAATATAGTGGCAAGCGATATCATTATCGCGAAGCATTTGGATCTCCTTCTTATTCACTGAGGAAGAACAAAAGTCGAGGTACGTCATGAATATGGTACAGTAGGCAGGCTTTCCTGTTTAAAGAACGCTTTCATAAAGAAGGTATTGGATATTGTATTGGAAGGACATTAAGAAGGCAAGTGCGAATATTAAGTTTGATGGTTAGAGAGGATAATTGCATCTATAAATGAAAAATGAAACCATAGTACTTGCGATATGTTTTGTTTGGTGCACACAGAAACGAAATCCTAGATATGTTACCTCTTGTTGTTTTTTCACATTGTCCTCTTCTTGGCTCTTTCCTTATGCTAATACCTGGTGCCTGTTGTATTATCTTTAGAACCAAGTTCTTTCGTAACTTCATAGAAAGTTAGCTCATTTTCAATTTTTTTTCATATTGCTACGTAATCAATATACAAAAAAATGTTTTGTGCAGCTTGATAAAGAGGTCGCAAGTTCTATGACCATATATACGACCAAACAGAAATCAACCTGACGCTCCATATATGCTACAAGTGACAACACGCGAATATTTATTATTTGCACATTCTACGACAAAAATCGCATTGCATGTAATTAATTCGAGGTAATAGGGAAAAACGAGCCTTAATGTACACTTACTATCCATTTCCGTGGTTTCAGTCTTAGGCGAAACTTGTATCCTGTCGACAACATCAGGTGCAGGTGGTATCCAGGGCCTAGTTCAGAGAAAATCTTCAGTTCGCAAACACATTTCACGGGCGTGCCAGAGAGGACCAGGCATGTAGGATGACTCTTACCTCTCGTCCGGACTGGGCATCTTGCTCCCTGCAAGCCAAACCGCAGCTACATTCAAACCTCCGGGGCGAGGAGCACCTACGCAACAACCGCCACAGCTATGGTCGCGTTCGCGTTATGAAAGTATCACCATGGGATCTAGCTTGTATATTCGGAATCAGTTTTTCTGTAAGGCATTGCATCGTCAACTAGTAGGCTGAGGCCAAGCGTGAAAAGTACATCGCTAAACATTTTTTTTTGTATCTGTGACTTTTTCATCGTCTTTTAGTGCATACCGCGTTTCAATTCTGGTACGGAAAGCTTCGGCAATTTAATTTCCAATGTTTCTAATTGCATCTACAAAAACCAATTATTCCGTGTGCTGCGATTACTGTTGCGGTAATTTTCACATCCCTCCAACTTCGAGGAAATATGTGCGTGGCATGCGAGCGCCAGCTGAGATATTGGTGTACCGATTACACAAACACTACAGATGCCCTTTACAGCACATAGCTGCAGAATAAGATTTCACGTCAGAATCGTTATAGACCTCATCCGATGACACTGAATCAGTACGTGCTGCATTTCTGCGTTCAGGCAATATTTGTTCCAACAAGGTTACCAATTGGAACTTCAATTCGCAACGACAACTCGGGTGCGCTTTGAAGAAGCGGACAGTGATGAGACGGGACGCACACATTTCTGACCACGTCTTTGGAGCGTATATCTTCATCGTCGTCTTGCAGAACCAACTGTGCTGACAAGCTTCAATTCACGCTCATGGCGACATTGATATGGCTCCGTGTTTGAATAGGAACATTAAAACGAAATGTAAATATCACTGAAACAGAGAATCGGCGTTAAAAACTGACGAAATCAACTTCTATTCTGCTGCACTAAGAACGGCAGAAATGCGCGATTACAGTAAGGTTTACCTGTCAAAAATATAAAAGCAAATAATCTAGCTCGTGGTTCAGATGAAATAATTTATGAAAACCACATGTTACAGGGGAAGTCATAATCAGTGAAGTTAAGTTTTAAATGCCAATGCATTTCTTAGTCGGGCTATGTCTGGCGTCCGGAGATGTCCGCGAGCTGACAGGAGTTATCCCTGTGCTCTCACTCCATCTCCCATAGCAACAGCTGCGAGTGAGCGCGCTTATCCTCGCCCCTAGCAACCGGACCAGGTGATGCGGGCGGAGTAGCGGAGAGTGAGTGGAGTTGAGAGGCGCGTTTTGGCGTGTGAGAGCACTCGTACCGTGGGAGCTGAGCGGAGTACCAACGTGTGTGGAGAAAGTGTAGCAGAGCGCAGGCGCAGTGCTTCACCGCTCCTTCTCTCGCCGTTCCCTCTCGCTCCACCCTGCGCCCCACTGTGCCATCCTGTCGCTCGTACCTATATATAAATGTAGTGAAGCGCGCGCCTCACTCTCTACCGTTCGCTGGCTGATGAATGTGTAAATAAATGGTTATAGTACAAATCTTCGTCTGGTCAATAATTTACCCCATTGAAATTACTTCGCCTTGTACTGTCTGGGTAAAAAATGCCGTCGCATTTCCTCATAATTCTCTTCGGGGAGGTGAGGGCAATTTTTTTTTTACTAGGCATTAACACTTTCCAGTACAGGGCGATGGTGAGGATGTACATTTATGACTTTCTTTCGTTAGGTAATTTTCAAAAGAGTGGGCTATTCAACGGTGCGAACGTCTTAATGACACTGTTGCCTTTTCTTCCTTTTATGCTGCTCCGCTTGTCCTCTGTTGTCTTCCAAAAAAGCTACTTGCCCTGCAATTCTCGCTTTGTTACAAGGACCAATGGCAACGGCAATAATTAGCTCTGCATGCATACGCCATTCATGATGATGTCACATTGCCCCGACGCGTCGGTCTAATGGTTCAGAAACGCGGAAGCTGACCCGCTGGTCACGGGACCGAGTCCCAGCTGCGGCGGCTCGATTTTTGATGAAGGCGAAAATGCTGTGGGCCCGCGAGCTCAAATTTGGGTGCACGCTGAAGAACTCCAGGTGGTCGAAATTTCCTGAGCCTTCCACTACGGCGTCTTTCATTATCTATGGTGGTTTTGGTACGTTAAACCACACATATCAATCAATAAATGATGTCTAATCAAAGGGGTATACCTCTAATGTCACACCATTACTTAAACCTTTCCGTACGTCTCTAGATCTACCCATGCCTCTCACAGAGGAGGCGTTAGTTACACCATATAATTTTCAATACGCTAAAAATGCTACAAGAAGAACAGTAGAGGTCATCGTACGTAGAAATGCAGCACTGACTATTTTTCGTAGGTACAGATTGCCGTATAGCCAAAACTGTGGCGTCATGCATTTATACTACAACAGTGAGAGATGAACAAAGTGAATTGAGCGCGGTATTTTCACCGTTAGCGTCTTTGTGGAAGCTGTGCCTGCTCCAGAGACGCACGGCTGCCACCACCACGAAGGCAAGTAGCGCAAAGCCCAGGACCAGCGCCATGAGCACGGCGAGCACGGGGCTGAACTTGATCTGCCACGAAGCATCTGCAGAAACGACAGTGCGTAAAATCTTGTGCCTAGTTATTTTTGAGTGATATACCCATACTAACTAGGTTTCATTAAGCTATCTTCCGTGATTTGTGGTTATTATTATCCAGACGTATGCGTAATTCATTCACTATGATAGCATGGGCATATTTATGCGAAGTGCACCTTGAAATTATACACATTTGTCGAAATTCATCATTCACTTGTTTGTTGTATCATATTCTAAGAAAAATGATACAGAACTAGGCACGCAGAAAATGTGCTGCCCGCAACAAAACAAACCTCAGGCTATGTTCGAAGCAATTCAGTAACGATAGTGTGCACCGAAACGCACACTATCTATGAGTGAGTGAGTATGACCTTTTTTTTTATTATCGTGAGGAAAAAGAAAACGGTTACATTGTTAACTGAGCATACGATTCTCACGTTTATTATGAAATTGGACTTGTGTTTCTCACACTCTGGAATCCTTTAGCTCATACTCAGAAATATTGACATGACGTGGCTGTGCGCGGCAGCTTCAGTATAAACTTGTACTTCCGTCACGGATGTGATGTCGTTGTCAAAATGGCACGTTAATTTTGAGCATCTGTCGATGCAGTGCTTTTCTTGTTCGCATGAGAATGCTGATTGATATTGAAATCGGGGAGGCATGCGAGGCGCATGAACTCTCCTTCCCGTTCACACACACACACACACACACACACACACACACACACACACACACACACACACACACACACACACACACACACACGCACACGCACACACACACACACACACACACGCACACGCACACGCACGCACACACACACACACACACACACACACAAAACGCGCAAGCGCGTCATCTTGTCTACTTAACTAGCAGATTCGATTGAGTGTTGCGTAACATTTAATTCTGGTTCCTCCACATTTTGGTATTGCCTGTGAGACCAGCTAAACTCATACTTTATTAAACAAGGTGGTTGGTAGCTAGGGGAGACCCAAGAGCCCTCTTTCTAATATGGGCAGTAGAGCATTGGGTTGAAGCAGTCCTGCAAAAGAAAACGCTGCCGATGGGGGTTCCAAAAGCATGTGAGGAAAACGTTATAGCCATGCGGCATGTAAATTACTATACTTACTCAAAGGTAACTGCAAATCGTCGTTTTTGCACTGAAAAATGATGTCATAAATCAGAGCCTATTGTGATTGGCTGATTTTCGCATAGTGAGCTGCATAGTTCTTGCGGCCACTGAGGGACGTTCCGCCACATAGTCGAGCGTTCATTCGTGATTTCATTTAATGTAAGCCACGCGCTAAAAAAAGGTAGGGGGGAGGGAAAATGCTAATAGTCAGGATGCTCACGTGTCGCAACTTCTTTCCCCCGCACCATCACCGCCTACTTAATGATCAAGCGCGTTCGCCTAGACGAAAGAAGAGAGAAAGAGCCTAGCGTGCATCAAATGACTGCAACGTCCATCGTACTTGCCATCGTCTACATTTTTGTGGCTCAACCTCCACTTTTTTGTGGCTGTTGAGCCATGAGGCTCCATCTCCTTTAGTTCAATCATTAGAAAGTTAAATTAAAAGTGCTGAAAGACCATTCTAAGCACTGAGATAGGGAAGAGTTTCAGAGCATATAGACTAGAAGAAGCCGTGTGGTATCTTGAGTCATCAATCATAGTAAACATTCCGTAAAAGCACGCAGTTTTGTATCTCCGAACTAGCACAGCTGGAACTGCTCCTATCAGGGTTCGTACAGGTTTCCTAAGCGAAAATTCAAGAATATTCAAGGACCCTCCCGAATTTGTTGCAAAGTGGCATGCTAAGTTGCAATGCTTTACTGTAAAAATTTCAAAAATGACCAATTTTATTGCCCTTACATTGAATATATGAATATTGCAGTTGTAACAAAATACAATCTAGTCATAATAACTTCTCGCACCCTCTCCCACACTTTCCGACGGGATAGAGCATGATGACGTTTGAGAAAGTTATGCACTGACAAGCACGATACGTGCACCATTGTTCATTTATTCTCACTATATAGTTCATCGTCTTATTGATATGAACAATTTTCAGTTCCTGTTTGTGGGCATTGCGTTGGGCGTGTACGTAGCAGTGTAGCTGACTTAGTCCCATGATCACAAGGCCTCGCAGACGTCTTGCTGAGTATCGTATGCTCTCGCACACATTTGCCACATAAGCACCTGCATAACAGATGCACCGCTAGCTGCAGCAGCCGCGACGCTTAGTCGGTATGTACGTGGCGGAAGTGTGGAGGTCATTCACCTCACTACAACATTTGTTGGCCTTCCTATAGAGCTACATCAGTGTTGGACGCGCTCGCGATGGGCATCGATTAGGCGAATGAAGATTTAGGTACACTTGGGAAGTGACTTGAAAGATATTCAAAATGGTTTTATAACTTCAACCATTCGTGTGGCGTGTCCTTGCATACAGACGAATCCAACACGACGCTTTTTATAACCTCTAAATTGTATGACATCACCCCATTAAGAGCGGTGGCTTGTGCAATTGACACTTGCAGCACGCTGCTGAAACACTAAAAAGTAACAACTGCGACAGTGGTTAATTTGCACTCAGCCTGTGGATACATGGATGTTCTTTCCGAACACCCTTCTTGGTGTTTAAGCAGCACGCTTTCAGTGTCGAGCTGTGATAGTTGTTCATCAGCACTCGTCCTGTGCACTTTCTTTTCGTGCGTCTTTTGTGCTTGTGCAGCGCGTTGCATGTCTGAAGTTTCTTGGCCTTTTTCGCGTGACATTCTAGATTCTTGATATCACACTCACTGCTTCGGCTTCGCCACGAAACTACCTTGTTTTTTCATGTGCATTTTTTTTTGTGAAATGGGTCAATGTGGGCCCACGCTGCATTACTGCTTTGGAAATGGCGAGTTTGACAGGTTGACACACCAATCTACCTTATTTAGGGGGTTGCGATGTCGATATGAGAGAGCCCTACTCACGAAATTCAAACATTTTTAAGGGTGGCAGGACATTTAGGATTTTCAAAGGCCTTGAAAACGCATTTTAGGGGCAAAGCTCCTGAGGGCGTGGGTCTGTCCATCTCTGTCATTGTCGTACGTAGTCACAGAGATTTGAAGTGGGAGATGGCGGTACTTGGAGTGTTCACTAGATGGATGCACGGACGCACGCATGGACGGACGGAGAAACAGAGTAGCAGACATACGGACGGTAGGACGGACGCGCGGAGCACTTATGTGCCACAGGGGATGCGAGATGCGAGATAACGCTACTTTGAGTGTTCACTAGATGGACGCATGGACGGGTGTACAGACAGACTAGAAGACGGACGGACGGACAGATGGACGGACGCGCGGACGTATGGTCGAATGGACGCACGAACACACGGACAGACGCATGAATAGATGCACGGATGGTCGCACAGATGAACGGAAGCAAGAACGAACGTACGGATGGAAGCACGGACGGACTGATGGACACTTCGCCCCATTCATGATCATTCACTCCGTGTATATGCTGTAATTTTTTCAAATTCAAGGTTTTTTAAGAATTTAAAAGCTGTGTACGAACCCTGTTCTATAAAATCGCCCTTTTATTCCATAGTTAGGCCGGTTGCAAATAAAATGGATCAGCCATTTTGACACAACTCCTGAATAGATGGAATCTACCAACCTATGGAGTGTTGCAGATTGTGTATTATAATAAGTGAGTCTGTTAGCGTTGGGTGTTTGTTGCATTCCTAGGTGCATTACGAAATAGATCTCCCACCATTATAGAGTGCGCTGCGCAGAATGACAACAAATAATGATTGGTTTCTTATTTTACTGACGTATTACCAACCACATTAACACACTTTCTTTCTGAACAGATGGCTTCTGTACTCTTAATGATGTTTCGGAATATGAATATACAGTTTACTAAGTTTTAGAACAATTGCTCAACGCTTGGACGGCCTTTCTATTCTCGCAAAAATGCTCACCTATGAGCAATACACAGAAATCATTTAACATTGATGTTGAAATACGTCGCAGTCGTAAGATTTCTGGCTCTTCCGAAGAATGAAACTCAATGTCATAGCGGCATCCATGCTGTACCTTAAAATGGCGTGCACAATTCCGGCCAATAATCTCTACAAGACTGCCTACCTGTTTGAAAATCCTCACAGTAACGTGGTAGCAGCAACGTTCAGTGCTGCGTATATTGTATCTTTGACGGCATTGCGCGCAAAGTACCGCAGATTTTGAATAGAACATGTGCACATACCTCGTGTTGGTACGGCGTCCATATATACGTACACAACGTCTGCACTACTACTTACAGAGCGAATTTGAAATCCTGTGAGCATGAAACGGGGAATTTTTTCAGTCTCTTTTCAATGTTAGACACCACCAATTGCATCATAGAGATAATTTGGCCAGGCAAGCACAGCAGACATTACTTGATGGGGTCTAAAAATATGGCCGAGTCCCAAAAAATTGAGGCAGCCGACGAAATATCACCGTTTCCGTTGGATGGATACAAATCCACAATTTCTAAATACCTGGTTTCAGTTCCCATTGACGGAAAGGCGCATATTTCTGTTACTTTAATTAAATTCAATCTGCGCCATAGCTAACAGACTACGCTGAAGATCAGGAAATCTTTGTGTGAAGAAAATCTTTGTGATGCTCATAACTGACATGAAATTTTTTAATGGAAACATTTAGCGGACGGTGTATCAGCGCATGCGGCTTTTTTTTTATTTTCTTACGCGATAGCTCGGTAAAGAGCTTGTTTCGCAGAATTGCCGGCGTCGTTGTCGGTGCACATGTGAATGGTTGTTAGTGAAACATCATCATTTCATGCGTAATCGAAAAATCGAGAAAGAGGCAAGTAAAATAAAAAAATAATAATTTTTACGCTTGAACCCAGGCCTACGGCATGGCAAGTAAGTGTTCAAGCACAAAGTCTTCATACTATTTTGTTTATTTCTTGGTATTTATTAAACCTGTATTAGAATTCCCATAAATTGGGACTAATAGTATGAAACAGGAGTGAAATCACACAGTGAAAATAATGGGTATAACTACACTTAGAAAACACTCAACGATCAAGGAAGTGCATATTGAAACAGCTTTGAAAGGAGGCAATCAGTGCAGCGCATTTTGCGTGGCACAATTGTATACTCTCACCAAGCGGTAAAAGAAGTGGATTGAGCAACGAGTGGGTGTTTCAAAGACCCACCTGTTGCAAAGTGCTCAGAATTTTCTGTTGATCATCAGCAGCAGAACTATGAAAAAGAAGAACTGCTGCGCACATTTACGTGTTGGCCTATGGACACGTAGAAACCGTTCGCTGATTCGCGACAGAATAATTGTGGTGCTGTGGGCAATTCACAACTTTTTTTGCAAGAAGCATTCAATGATATTTGGAAACATCGAATATTACGCACACGGACTTTCGTTTCTTTACGGAACTAGAGCCATGCACCGAGAGCCGAAGCAAGCTAGCAGTTCAGAAGGCGATGCAGAGAAGGCCCGATTACGTCATCGCGATCTACATTTGAAGGTTAACTTCATTATCCTCCAACCTTCGTCCCTATCAGGAGGCCGCAGAGCATAGGTTTACTCACCAGCCCCAGCCAATCATTTCTCAACGAGTTTGGCTTCTTTTATAGCTCACAACGCCACAGCGGTGTCACAAGATGATGCAGTTTATTGAAATGGTGCGAAGCTAGTGGAAACTGGACTCGCGCTGTCTTACCAGGTCCTTGGTGCAGCAGGCTTTCTGCGGCAGCCGGTAACGTGGACGCCGTGAGTAGCACTGGCGGACTGCGGCCCTTGCCGTTGGATGCGTACACCACAAGTACGAATTCGCTTCCCGATGGAAGGTCCGATACCTGCGAAGCCAAATATTCCCCGCGTTATTATTCAGATAAGGTCCGTCTGCCGTCAGTCGGCTGCGATGGCAAGCACGCTGCACTAAAATCCGCTAACGGCACCTTCTTGCGTATACAAAGTGGTGAAGCATTCTTTCACTATTAGAGCTCCCCATATTTCTCCATTAAAATTACGTTGTTGTTGCTAACTGCCGTCTTCTGCATCCTTGTCTTCTTTCTTGTTGTTCTTTCTTCCGTCTATTCACTGACATCACGAGTGCACATACCAGTAGTTACATATTAACAGCCGTAATAAGGCGTTGTTATACTATTATTAGAATACTAATGAGAGCCCTGAAGTACGAACACGAAAGGGGGGACTTGAAATGATGAATCATCTGGAACAGAACAAAGTAATGCACCCTTTTCTGTGTTTTTTAGGTTTTACAACAGAACTGTTATGCCGTGAGTCGGAGATAAGATTGCCAAGATTGGTCAAGAGGAGCAGATTAAAATTATCATCATCCTGAACCGACACGAGTTCTCTTCACGTGCATCGCTCCCAAAACACGTAGGCTCATTGCACCGACATGGGAAGCAATAACTCTGATGAGTAAGAGAAGTACAAAGAGAAAAAAAGAAAAAGGAAATTAAAAATTGCACGATGAAAAAAAAGTGTTTAGACCTGGCGAGATTTGAAACTGCATACCCACTATCCGAAGGCGAGCGTCGAAATCACTCGTGTATCAAGGCTTCTCTCATCGTACCCTCTTAACGAAGCACGTCAGCGGAGCATAGCGCCGGATTTGGTATCGTAGTATAGCAAGGAGGCGGGAAAGAGGAGTGAAGATAAGAAAAAAAAGGACAGGTGGAGTGCAGAACGAGCCCAGAGAAAGAGAAAGTGATAAAAAGAAAGGGAGGCACGAAAAACAAAAAGGAGAAAATTTAAAAAAGGCAAAAGAAACTTATGCAACTTGTGAAACCTACATAAACAGTAACCTATACGAAAATTTGCATCATATCCACGGATTGAATCATCATGACTGGGGCGAAGCGTCCGTTCGTCCGTCCGTGTATCCATCTGTCTGTGCGGCCGGTCGGACGGACAGAAGCACAGACGCAGAGATGGACGGACACATTGGCGGAATCACGGACGCACGCACGGATGAAGGAAGCATGGCCGGACAGACAGACGGACAGACTCATGGACGGACGGACGGTAGAACAGACGGACAATAGCACGAACGGCAGCATGGACGGGCGGACGGACACACGGATGGTCGGAAGCATGAACGGACGCCCGGACGGATGGACAGACGGAAGCATGAACGGACAGACAGCCGGATGTGCGGACGGGGAACTAACGGACGCACGGCCGGATTGACACAAGGATGGACGGACAGACGTTCGCCCCACTCATAAACATTCACTCCGTGCATATGCTGTGAGAACCACTAACGGCATCTAGTTATATTATTCCCAAGGACACGTGTATACAACGCCATCTATTGAGCAACTCATTAACTATAGGTGGCTACACATAGTACTACTATTACTACCGAGGAGGGAACGACCCACGGCATAAGGAGCTTTGCTTCTCAAAAAACTAATTGGATTTTTAAGGTGTTCTTTCAAGAGAAATTTCAGTTGAAAGTCAGTGCCCGATTCGTGTTTTGTGACCGCGACAGCTGCAGCATCTACACTCACCAACGGCGTATATAAACCCTTGGAAACAAGAATCGTCTCATTGGCAGTAGCAGCGCCACCCAGGACGCACCAAGCTATCGCTGCCTATGTTTTTCGCAGGCTGATATCAACATATTTTTGCCGCAAACCAGAAGGCCGTGCTTGCCACATGCTTCATCGGACCTCATCATCGAACCACTTGCTTCATCGGACCTCGTGACCGCGACAGCTGCGGCATCTACACTCACCAACGGCCTATATAAACCCTTCGAAATAAGAATCGTCTCATTGACAGTTGCGGCGCCACTCAGGACGCACCAAGTAATCGCTGCCTAAGTTTTTCGCCGGTTAGTAATGTGAAAAATGACAAGTCGCTATCATTTAAATTTACCGCCGGACGCCGCTGCCATTTACTGCCATTTACTGTTATCTATGCCATGTCTGAATCAGTATGTGTAGCGTGTACAAAAGTGTGCGCAATAGCCGATGCTCTTGAGTGTACTATGTGTTGTGGTATTTACCATTTTGGCACATGCTCTGATGTTGTCGAGCGATCCCTAAGGTCTAAGGGTGATTCGTTTCGCAAAACATGGATTGTAAAGCCTGCCATGGCGACACTCAGACAGAAAAAATAGCCCCACAACAGAATATTGCCCTACAAAATGTAGCCCCACACCAGACGATATTACACTGAGGCTTGACATGACTAATGCAAAGCTTGAACAACTTATGCTTTTGCCAGCAACGGTGACGGAAATGGAACGTTCGGTACAACTAATGTCTGACACGTTTGATGCCACGATAAAGCGCCTACACGAACACGACAAAGAAATTAAGTCAATCAAAAGCGTCTAGATGCAGTGGAACAAGCTGAAGTTGTCGAAACACAAAAGAAACTGCAAGATGCCGTGTATGACCTTGAATGGTGCAGCCGGCGTCTAAATTTAGAAGTACACAGAATCCCTGTGACGCCTGATGATTCGCTGGATGAGCTGAATGCGCTCACGCCCATTCTTGCAGTCCCACACCTCTCAACAAACGACGTCACAGCGATCCACCGGCTCCCATCAAAACCAGAAAAGATACCGGGAATAATCATCCGCTACAGCTGTCAGACCGAGATCTGTGGCTTGCTGCACGCCAGAAGCTGAGGGCCGCTAAACAGCAGGCTTCAATTCTCGAAAATATGGCCACGCAAAACCGCGACCTTCTTCGGAAAACGAAAGACTGGGCCACTGAAAACGGATTCCGTTTTGCTTGGAACTCAAACGGCAAGATATTGTTAAGGAAAAAGGAGGGCGATCATGTAGTCGTTGTTGCGTCAGAAGTGCAACTCAGTGAACTTGTACGTTAAGCTAGCATATGCAAGCTTGTACAACATGGTAATCGCGCCACACCAATTCTTAGAGATTGCAAAGGCATGTAAAAATCCTCTCTCCTTTATAAAGCTGAACTGCCGCTCCGGAAAATCAAGAACCGATGAATTAGATATGCTTTTTCAGACACTAGGTTTTCAATTTTCAGCAATTATACTAACAGAAACGTGGTATGATGAAGGGTCAGAAATGTACACACCCTCAGCCTATTCGCATTTTTTTGTAACATGACAGAGCGAACGCGGTGGAGGGGTATCATTACTTGTTCACAAGTCTTCTGAGTGTAGCCTTCAACCCTGTTTCACCGTTGTAACAGAGGACTATGAAGCGGTAACCTTATGTAAGGCAACACGTATGTTCGTAGGGCTCTATAGACCCCCAACCGCTTCGTTTGCTAGTTTTTGTACGTTTTTTGAGGAAATTCTTAATTTCGCCACTGAAAAGAAATTTGAACTTGTACTTGGAGGCGACTTTAATACCAACATAGTCGACAATAGTTTGAAGCAAAGGTCCCTGGCAGCACTTATGTCGTTGAATGGCTTTGACATAATATCTACCGGACCAACCAGAGTTACGGCAACATCGTCGACGTTAGTAGATTTTTTAATTACAAATGTATTGCACTTATCGATAAAAGCAGATGTTATTGCTACAGATTTAAGTGACCATTTAGCAGTTTTCATGCTTCTGGCTTGTACTGATCAACCCAAGAAAGAAAGGGAGAAACGCACTTTGCAGGATATCTCGGATAATAATCTAATACGGTTTAGAGAGGCTGTAAGCGCACTTACATGGCAACAAGTTTACAATGAGCGTGACCCTGACCAATCCTACGAAAGTTTCTTAAAAAAATTTTGCGCAAGTTATGAAGTTTGCTTTCAAACTAAAACCGTAACACAATCGCGCCAGATTCGCAAACCCTGGGTTACCAAAGACATTCTGCTAAAAAATCAAGCACAAAAACCATTTGTACAAAAAGATCATCACTAGTAGAGATCCTAACGTATTAAAAGAATTCAAGTCCGTCCGAGACCAAATATCAACGTTGTTGGAAAGGCTGAAAATAGCACTATAATAATCCATTTTCTCAAGATATCAAACGATCCAACCTAACGTGGAAGAAAATAAGTTCCGTACTTGGCCGCTCCCGAAACTGTCAACAAACTACAACCAATAGTTATGAAGGTCAAGCTGTATCGGGCTCACCGTTGGCCAATCTTTTCAACAAATTTTATGCAACAATTTTCTGACACGCATTCAACATGTTACGATTCAGGCAACATAGATTTAAACTTCAACGCTACATATGTTTTTTTATCTCCTACCGACGTGCAGAAGGTGCGCAATACCATTCTAAATTTAAACAATAGTAGCACTTGCGATGTCGATAGCTTGCAAATTAGACCTGTTAAACATGTTGTAGACTTAATCACGTTTCCGCTGACAGATATATTAGGGGCGAAGCTCCTTAGGGCGTGGGCTGTGCGTCCCCTGTAGCCTGTATGTAGCCACCTCTAGTTTAGTTCTTGCGGTGTTCACTAGATGGCGGTACCGTTCCCTGTATGTAGCCACCTCTAGTTTAGTTCTTGCAGTGTTCACTAGATGGCGGTACCGTCTCCTGTATGTAGCCACCTCTCGTTTAGTTCTTGTAGTGTTTACTAGATGGTGGTACTTGTAGCTGATGATGAAAAGATGCAAGATGTTATAAACTAGAAAGCGGTACTTGTAGTTGATGAAAGACGCGAGATCTTATAAAATAGGAATGATGTCACATATGGCGCGTGTCATTGGTTGAAGGCAATCGTTCGATTTAGTGCGGCGACGTACGCTAGGGGGAGCGTTGTAATAAAATCCGTTCGCTGTTGGCGCGCGCTCGGAGTCGCCGGATGGATAAGGCTGCACAGCGGAGAGAGCGCAAGGCGGCAGCAGCGCGCGCTCGCAGACAGAATGCCGATGTGC